TACTAGTCTCTGTAGATGAGGCACACTCATTTGATTTTCATTCTAACTTTTGTTTTTATTTTTTATCAATTTGTTTTTGTAAAATTGATTTTTTTTTTTCGTCAATAGCTCCCAGGTCATGTGACCTGTTGACCCCAAATCAGCATGAAATTGTTCTACTAGTCTATGTAGATGAGGCACACTCATTTGATTTTCATTCTAACTTTTCTTTTTATTTTTTATCAATTTGTCTTGTAAAATTGAGTATTTTTCGTCAATAGCTCCCAGGTCATGTGACCTGTTGACCAGGGGTGTGCATACATAGACACTAGGTGGTGCTAAAGCACTAGGAAGTTTGCCATTTATCAAAGAAAATGCCCTTTTGAAACTCGTTTTTTATTTTATTTTTTATTATTAATATTATTATGATTTTACTGAGGTCGGTTTTGAAATGATCTTTTGAAAACCTGAGCCATTAAAAACGACTGAAACAATGCCCTGAAATGAGCCACTTCCTTGCGCACACCCGACCAGCCTCTCTCTCTTCCTTTGTCACGTGAACTTGCGCGGTCGCCCGCAGGGCATGCCAGATGCACAGCATCATAGCAGTTCAGTAGCGTCTTCAGATAGCAGGAACGGTCGCTGACAGGCTGCTTCTCCCGTGCCCCATTAGCCAGGTAATATACAGATCAATCAAAATCATTTTGTTGTGCATTAAAATGTCTCATTCAGCAGCACCAAACAAGCATTTTTGCCGACTGGTCACCTGATAAACTAATTGTCTCCTTGTAAGATGCTATTTTACTTTTTATATTTTATATCCATATTTTTATCTTAAGTGTGTATATTTTATTGCATGACGTATACCCACAGTTTTTAGATATTTTATAATTTTATTTACCTATTCCATATTATATGTTTCATGTTGCACGATTGTACCATAAAAAATTCCTAGTTTGTGAACTCCTTCTCTAACAATGGCAATAAACCTGATTCTGATTCTGAAACTTTTACACTGTAGCCCAAGTCAATGACAGATAACGTGAGGACGACCACATAGGCTACAAATAATGTTGGTAGAGTTTGCAATTGCAAATCTACGGAAGAGGATTAGGGCCACTGGAAAAAAAAATAGGTTAACTGATTTTTAAATTTTATTTCAGTTTAGTATGGGAAAAAAGTCAGAATTCTAAATTAAATCTCAGAATTCTGACTTTTTGCTGAGAATTCTGACTTTTTGCTCAGTATTCTGACTAAATTCTGACAATAAAAAAGTCAGAATTCTGACTTTTTTCTCAGAATTCTGACTAAATTCTGACAATAAAAATGATTAAAGTCAGAATTCTGAGAAAAAAGTTAGAATTCTGACTTTTTTCCCATGTTAAACTGAAATAAAATGTAAAAATCAGTTAACTTCTTTTTTTTCAGTGGCCCTAATCCTATTATTTTGTAGGCTACCATAAGTCAGATCCACATGACAAGACTTCCAGTCATGTTGCCCTAATAGCCCATTATTTAAACTAATGTGGCATATTTGTTAAAGCTATTATTATTATTATTATTATTATTATTATTATTATTATTATTATTATTATTATTATTAT